ATATGTATGTGTATGTATAATATGTATATATATACATATTATACATACACACCCACAGACACATACACACAGATCTTCAAGGAAGAGCTTTTCCAATGGCTCCTCTTTCTCAAATAGCAACCCTTCCTTTTGTCCCAGCACACTCTTGCTGCTGCTGCCACCATAACTGACCACTTTTGAAGACATACAACCAGCTTTAATGGCCTCATGACCTTTTGGAACTTGCAAAGTCTCCTGGGCTCATCCATTTTGGGTTGCTGTTCAGTCACCTATTGACTCTGGAAGATATATTGCTTCCACTGTTCCCTTACTCTACTCTACCATGAAGTTTTGAAGTCCTTATGATTGCAAGCCATAAAGAAACAGGAACATTTTGGGAAATGGGGGGGGGGAGGGCAGGGATTTGAGCTTCCTCTTGGTCCTTTTTTAAAATTTTATTTTTAGGAATTGGGTTAAGTGACTTGCCCAGGTTCACACAGCTAGTAAGTGTCAAGTGTTTGATCTGAGGCCAGATTTGCACTCAGGTCCTCCTAACTTCAGGGCCGGTGCTCTATCCACTGCGCCACCACCTCTCCCCTCCCCATTGCTTTTTAAGCCAGAACTGTGGGTATACAGATAAGTTAATTAGTATAAATAATGAATTCCATGAAGTTGTCCCATACATTCACACTATTTGAAGTTATAATGATGTAACTATGGCAGTTTATTCCAGTCCAATTCAAACATGTACTGCAATCCAGATAATGTGACTAATTCACAAGATTCATTATTTGCATTAATGGAAGGTAGCTAAGTTTTGCCTTAGAACCATGGGAAGACTTCAATATATATATATATATATATATATATATATATATATATATATATATATATATATACATACACACACAGAGAGAGACACAGACACAGAGAGAGAGAGAGAGAGAGAGAGAGAGACTAAATCCTATATAGACAGAATCTATATGTCTCAAAAAGAGATGGGGAAAAGGACACATTACACAAATGTGCCCTACAAAAAGGAAAACCAATGAGAAACTTCATAACAGATAGCTGTATTAGATTTGGCATCCAAAGAACTGGGTTCAAATCTAGCCCATGTCATTTATTAGCTGTGTCTCAAGCCATGAAATGGAGATAACCATAAAGAAACTGCCTATTTCACAAGATTGTTGTAAAATGGAGATAAAGTATGTAAAGTGTTGGATAAACCACAAGATAGTAAGTGCAGGGGAGCTATTAGTATCACCAATAATAGTTATAATAAAAATTAGTCCATTTTCAACTAGTTTCGTCTAGTCTATTTTCATTTGTCTTCATTAAAAACTCATGAAAATATTTTTAAACATCACAAATTTGATAACAGGTTTCTGCCAAACATTGTCATTAAGTCATGAGCTTTTTTTTGGGGGGGGGAGGTGATGCAATCAGGGTTAAGTGACATGCCTACGGTGACACAGTAGTCAGTATGTGTGTCCAAGCTGGATTTGAACTTGGGTCCTCCAGACTGCAGGGCCAATGTTCTATCCACTGTGCCACCTAGCTGCCCAAGGCATAAGCTTTTAATTAATAATTTGCCTGTATATTTGCATTAACAAATTTAATTTATTTTCCAATTTTTTTCCCTATATATATCAGCTAGGTTTTTTTTTGGTAACACACATTGGCCCTCTCCCCAATAAGTATTATATATATATGTATATATGTATGTTAGAAAATAATTGTAAAATGCATTACTAATTTTCTGTCCACAAATGTACACAGTATAATATGTAAGTAATGATTCTGTTCTTGTTAAATAGGACTTCTAACTAGCCAACCATAGCCCAAATGTAGTGAGGATACTAGATCATAGAAAATGTTATTGAACATCATATGCCATTTATTTATTTTTTTTTGGCTAGACAATAAGGCTAAGTGACTTGCCAGGGGTCAGACAGCTAGTAAATATTATGTGTCTGAGGCCAGATTTTTGAACTCAGGTCCTCCTGACTCCAGGGCAGTGCTCTATCCACTGTGCCACCTAGCTGCCCCTATCATTATGCCATTTAGAGACAGCATTGAGGTTCTGCAGGATATCAGGTATGGTTGATAGAACAGAGAGAGTCTATCCCTTGAAGAAATGTTGACAAGTCATGTCACAAGTAAAACCAACAACATATGGATCATGACTTACACACTGCACCAAAAACAGTCCACTATAGAAACCAAAAGATGTATAGGATTAACTTGCATTTTGGTTGTTTGGACAGAAAAGAAGGAGGAGGAGGAGGAGGAGGAGAGAAGAGAAAATAGAGAAGAAGAGAAAAGATGACAAGGGCTTTGAAACTAATGAAGATGGAGAAGATGAGAAGAAGAAGAAGAAGAAGAAGAAGAAGAAGAAGAGAAAAGAGAAGAGAAGAAGAAGAAGAAGAGAAGAAGAAGAAGAAGAAGAAGGAGGAGGAGGAGGAGGAGAGGAGGAGGAGAGGAGGAGGAGCTTTAGAAGCTAAAGAAGATGGAGAAGGAGAAGATGGAGAAGAAGAGGAATTCATGTCATGAATAGAAAGTAGCAGAGAGCAAAAGGGGGGGAACAACAAGGCTAGTTTGAGAATAAATGTTCTATTCCCCTTTGCAGATATTTCCTTATGCCTTGAGGGTTGAATTATTTCAATGAACAAAAATCTTCTAGCTTCTACTTACATTATATGTCCTTAAAAACAAACCAACTTTGATGATCTATTCTAGTCATCCTGCAACAGTATCATTATCAATGATATATAGAGAATCAAAATATCTGTGTTGGAAGGGACCTTAAAAATCGTGGGTCCAGCCTTACAATCAATGTAAGAATTGTTTGAGCACTGCGGTCAGACAACTTCTACTTGAGGAAATTGTCTCACAAGCAGTCCATTCCATTGCTATAAAGTTTATTTTTCCTTATACCAGCCAAAACAGGCTGCTTTCATCACTGGTCTTAGCAATCTGTTTGGAGACTCCCAGTCTTCACAATGGCCCTTCACATATTTGAAAATAGACATGCCTTCCAGTGGTCTCCTCTATCTTAATCATTCTTAGTTCATCCATATCTTCTCTCTGAATTTATCAATCTCCTCTGATGTGTTTTAGGGGTGCAGGGACCACAAAATAACTTGGTTCAGGTCAGAGTCATCTGTAAAGAATTCACAAACTCAAGTGTCTTCCAGTCCAGGGACAAAAAGTTTATTGTACCACTATTGTGGCAGGCAGAGCTTCTTAGGGAACTCACAACTTAACAGGATTGATGCTAAAGCTTATATAGGAAAAGTTCAGTGAGTGGTGTGCCAAGTTTGCTAATTAGGTGGTGAACATACAGTTTCTGTACCTTTTGGCACAGGTGTCATTTCGCTATTGGCATGGCCTGGGAGGAGAACTTCTAAAGAATCTCTACCTGTACACCTCTACATCTATAATAAGATAGCCTGGGAGTTGGGAATTGACGTCTATAGCTTGACCTCTGGATTGTATATGGTAGTTCTGCTGGTACAAGATAGTCTTGTTCATACAAGGAAAATTCTACAGAGGTCAGCTTTTCTTCTTGTAACAGGAGATAATTTGCCTCACTGGGGTCTACTCATGAATTACTGCCAGAGATAGGGCCTTTGGGCTGGGGAGAATATGTTCCAAGGACTGGGGTCTGAGCACAAGTACCCCATCACCACCTAATATGTAGCATCCATAATTAAACACAATAGGCTGGACTGCATTTCTTCAGCCCAGAGTCAAATGGAATCATCCTTTGGGATTTAAACATTATTATTCTATTACTATAGCCTAAGGATGTTTAATTTTTTTAGCAACTTATGATCAACGAAAACTGACATATCTTTTGTTTTTTCAGTGAACTGTTGTAACCCCTTCCTTCCCACCCTTAATAACAGCATCATATGGCAATTGTAATTCTGCAGAGGCTGGCTTGAACCCAGGGCTTCCTGGCTAATGCCAACTCCACCCTCCCTGGACCAGGCTCCCTGTCCCATACAAATCATTCTCCCTCCTCCTGAAGCAAGAAAGGGGAAGGGATAATCAGAAGAAAGAAGACTAGACTGTATTTGTCCCAGGGCACCGAGCAGACCCCATGACACTTGTTTCAGTCTGGGCTTCACAGAGTCATGAAGGGCTGGAAGACACTTGGGAGGTCATCTAGTACAACGTCTTCATTTGACAGAGGAAGAAACTGAGGCTCAGAAAGAAAAAGGACTTTTTCCATCTTCGCAAAGGCAAGTAACAGAGTGGGTTCCAGGATTCGAACCCGAATCCTCTGAATCCAGATCCAGCACGCTTCCCATTAGGCCACACCTCGTCCTTATCCCGCTACTTTGCTGTGCATCCCTTTTCAGCGCGAGAGAGGAAAGAAGCTGGAGCACCTGAAGCAGCCTGGATCTCAGCCACTTTCAGATCTCGAGCTTTGGGCCCCTCCCACTGAGAGCTAATGGAACCAGCACATGCACACTCACCTGTGCATGACTTTTCCATTGGGCCCATGCATGACACAGGAGGATCTGATAAATGTATGCGGAATTGTCTGCCTCGAGGCGTTGCCAGGGCTACAACTGTCACTAGGCTTGAATATTCCATAACTGTTGCGCCCTCTGGAATCTCTTAACCTCCAGTCTCCGGCCACTGCAGTTTTCTGTAGCGGAGGCGAGGTCCCTGAGAAGGCTGAAAGGCCAAGAGAAAACCCCTCCCTATTTCTCCCGACTGGCTCTGAAGCCCGGTAACGAAAATGAAAAAGATTTTCAGTTTCCGCAGAAAGCGAACAGTGAATCCACTTCCAACCTCCTCAGGAGGAGGGACAGCGGGGTCCAAGAATCCGATCCTAATTCAGGATACCTGATTAGGGCCAAGGACCTGGAGAAGATCCACAAAGCTGCCTCCACTGGGGATGTGGCGAAGGTGCAGCACAGCTGCTGCTGAGGAAGTCAGGCGTGAACGATCGAGATAAAATGAATCGGTAAGAGGGAGTGGGAAGAGGGGAGAGAAGGAAGCCTTCCCCCCGGCAGCCTAAGACACCCCCCACGCCTCCCTCCTTGTGCGTTGTGTGTCTTTACTCACCCTTGGAAAAGCTGGTCCCCTCAGCAGCTGGGACAGGACAGCACCTCCCATCACGGTCAGGCTTTCCCTCCTGGACATTGGATAGTAAGTCCAGAAAGGTGGCGTCACCTCACCTTCCTGCCTGTTCAATTTTAATGAACGGGAAACTCCTTCATTTTACTTTGAGCCAGGGTCCAACCAACTTATATTTTCTCAATGGCAACTTGGGAAAATACTACTCTCTTCTAGTGAAATGTAGTTTTGAGTCGTTTCAGTTGTGTGACTACCCATGACTGTGTTTGAGGGATTTTCTTAGCAAAGATACTAGAATGGTTTGCCGTTTCTTCTCCGGCTCCTTTTATGATAAGGAAATGGCAAACAGGGTTAAGTGACATGCCCGGGTCACATGGGTATCTGAGGCCAGTTGTGAACTCAGGAAGATAAGTCTTCCTGACTCCACGCCCAGCACTCCTGTCCATTCTAGTTGCCTGCCCATGTGGGGAAACATGGCCACGATATGTGAAGTGTAAAAATGCCAAGGCAGAAAATTAATTTCTGCTTTTATTAAGCATCTGCTATATGTATCAGGCACCCAACTAACTGCAATAGATACGAAGAACTTGGGGAGCGGGGAATGTCCTTGCATTCTAGGAGGTAATCAGAAAGGGAGACTAAGGAGGAGAGGATGGGATACTTAGGAGGAGAACCAAGAAAGAGTAGTGTTACAAAACCTAGAGAGAAGAGAATATCAAGGAGAAGAGTGGTCTAGTTTGAAAGGCTTCAGAGAGGAGAAGGATGAGAATTGAGAAAAGACCATTAGATTGGCAATTAAGAGAGCATTAGTATCTTTGAAGAGTTTGGAAGCCAGACTGTAGAGTGTTAAAAGAAAATGACAGGAGAAGAAGTGGAGACAGCTGTTGTCAAAGGGCTTCTCCTCACATCTAACCACAAATGACAAGAGAGATGTGGGATGAGAGTGGGGACAGATTGATCAAGTGATGATTTCTTGAGAATGAGGGAGAGGATATGGGAATGTATGTAGGCTATCAGGGAAGTAATTAGTAGGCAGGGAAAGATTGAAGATAAATAAGAATAGGAATGATAGAGGGCATAACCCATTAGAGGAGATAAGATAGAATGTTATCACTTGTACATGTAGAAGCATTCTCAGTGGAAAGGAGAAGGGCCACCTCTTCCTATGAGGTGGCTGAAGAAGGACATAGTGGCAGAAGGCATTTGTATGTTAGATGAGAAGGAGGTAGGAACAGGGAGGACTCAGGTAATGGCCTCAGTTTTTTCTGTAAAATATGAGGCAAGATTTTTAGTTGAGAAGGTACATAGTGAACCAAGGGAGGTTTGAGGAGGGATTAAAAGGTTGCAAGAGCTGCTCTGGTGAGTGGCATAGGGAATTTACCATGGAGCTAGAATATAAAGTGATTGCCTTGCAGCAGTGAGAGCCCAGTTGAGATTATGTAACATAAATTTATAGTAGATCTAGTAAACACAGTTGTATGATTTTCTCCACCTTTATTGAGTAGCAAGTGTATAGGAAGAAAGACAGTAGAAGGCAGCAGTGATTCAAGGCTGAGGCTTGGCAAGACACAATTGGCGAGATTATAAGGCGGCGACGTACCAGGCTCTTACTTCAAAACCTTGCCATCATGGTAGAACTACCAAAACTTGCACCCTGCTGGGATGGCCTTTAGCAGCACAGATTCACTTCCACTGTCCAATGTCACGTGGCAGTAAGATTTTAGTGGAGAATGCACACACATTTGCACACGTGCTTGTACAAATACACAATATGCAAAGATGTAAATGTTTTTCTGAGGCAGCTGCTTTACTAAATGTTTTGTAATTATGGATGCTCTTAGTGGAAAGAAGTTGTTATTACACTTAACAGCCAAGCAGGGTGATGCACACCGATAATCCCAGCTACCAGTGTGACTGAGGCTGGCAGATCTCTTGAACTCATGAGTTTGCAGCTGGTGGGCTATGCCAGAATGATGTCTGCATTGAGGCTGGCATCAATATGGTGAATCCCAAAGTACGAGAGGCCATCAATTTGCCTAAAGGGAGGTGAACCAACTGAGGTCAGAAACTGAGCATGTCAGTAGTGAATTTTTAATCTGTTTTTGTTTTTGTTTTTACCCTGGCAATTTTGTCCATCATATCGAGCAAAAAGAGCTAATGCATATTTTATATTTCTTTGGGTGACAGTAGTATCCATTTATATTCATTTTGGCAGTGATTTAGAGTCTAGGCATAAGAATAATAATGCATTTTATGTTAGAAATCACACTAACTAATAAGTGCAAAATTTTGATTGTTGTAATATATTATCAAGCAATCACATAGCTCTCTCATTTCCGTAGGACACCTCTACACCTGGCCTGTGCTAATGGATATCCAGATGTTGTAGCTCTCTTAGTAGAGAGAAACTGCGATCTAAACCTTCTGGACAATGATAATCTAACACCTTTGATGAAGGTATGTACTAGTTAATCATGCTGGTCAATGAAATGCTTTTTGATTTCTCTCTGATTAAGAAAATATGATTTACAAATTAAAACAACTCTGAGGTACCACATCACACCTATCAGATTGACCAACATGACAAAACAGGAAAATGATAAATGTTGCAGGAGATGTGGGAAAATTGGAACACTAATACATTGTTGGGGTAGTTGTGAAATGATCCAACCATTTTGGAGAACAGTTTGGAACTATGCTACAAAAATGTGCATACCCTTTGATCCAGCAAGCACTTCTAGGGCTATATCCCAAAGAGATCAAACAAATGGGAAAAGGACCCACGTGTACAAAAATATTCAGAACAGCTCTTTTTGTGGTGGCAAAGAATTGGAAATTAAGAGGATGCCCTTCAATTGGGGAATGGCTGAGCAAGTTGTGGTATATGAATGTAATGGAATACTATTGTGCTATAAGAAATGATGAACAGGCAGGCTTCAGAAAAACCTGGAAAGACTTATGTGGTCTGATGCTGAGTGAAGTAAGGAGAACCAAGAGGACTTTGTACACAATAACAGCCACGTTATGCGATGACTAATATTGTTATACTGAATCCTTCTCAGCATTGCAAGGACCTGAGACATCTCCAGAGGCCTCGGGATGGAAAATGCTGTCCACATCCAAAGAAAGAACTATGGAAGTAGAATCGCTATCACTCATTTTTACCTTCTGTTGAGTTTTGTTTCGGCTTTCTGATGGTTCCTCCTATTGGTTTTAATTTTTACTTACAACTTCACTAATGTGAAAATATGTTTAATAGGAATGTAAACGTAAAGCTTATATCAGATTGTGTGCCGTCTTGGGGAGGATGGGGAGGAGGAAGGGGAAATATTTTCAACTCTAAAGTATATGGAAGTGATTGTTGATAAATCAAAATAAATTAATAAAATTAAAATTTTTTAAAAAGAAAATATGGTTTACTAACTTATTTAAATAACATTAATGATGTTTTAGTATATTAAATTTTTATCTCAGAGCATTAATTGTCTCTTTCTCTGTACTATATTGACAGGCAGTACGGTGTCAACATGAGGAGTGTGCTACTACCCTGCTCGAACATGGTGCACCTCAATCTTGTGGACACCGACAACAACACGGCACTTCACTATGCTGCCTTTGGACAGAACACAGCTATAGCAGCAAAGCTGCTGAAACACAACATGGACATTGAGGGAAAAAACAAGGTAGAAACCCACCTTTTGTATAATAAACTATTTTGTGAGTTAAAATGTGCAATCAGGTGGTGTCCAATTCACATATTTTGTAATTCATATATTCATGGAAGCATTTCTTTAATGAAAATAACTTAAAATAATTCTGTAGTCAACGTTCATGGCCTTTGGAATTTTCTAATAGTGTGGAGGTGGAGGAGGAGGGGTGGGCGAACAAGGGAGGAGATTTTACTCACGTTGGACTTCCTAATGAGGAAACTCCCTCTACTGGTTTAGACTAGGGCCTGCTCTACAATTTAATCTTAGACTAGGGATTGTTACACAAGATACATTATCTTTAAAAAAGCAACAATGACTTAATAGTTGTCTTCATGTAATTGGCCTCCTTCACATTCTATATATTTACGCATTTAAAAACGTTATTTTGGAAAGGAATCCATCATACAAAAAAACTTAAGAAACCCTGTCTTTAGGGAGTGTCCTGGAGTACTGAAATGTTAAGTGACTTCCCAGAGTCCCCTAGCCAGTATATGTGGGTGAGTGGCAGGCTTTGAATCTAGGTCTTACTGACTTCGAGGCTGACTCTCTGCCCATTCCATCGCAGCTGTCTCTCCATTCCATCTTGATTGCATGATACATTAGGTCTGCTCCCCAGGACACAGTGGTTCCACCAAATATTTGCCTACAATGCTTTTTCTACAATAGACCTTTACATATGATAACACAATGTTAATTTGTCATGTAGAAATGCCATAAGTTTTTTTAAAATCTTTTAAAAATTTGTTCCTACTAAGTATAAAAATATACAGACACAGAATTTTCGCAAGAATATATTCTTAAGTGTATGTTTTTTATCTCCTATTTCCTAAAGACTATACCTTTTCCTTTCTATAGTTACTGAATAACTCCTGATTTTTAGGAAAAGGTTTAACTCTTAGTCACTGCCACTTGAGAGAGAAAAAAAAACATAAAGCATACTTTAGGAGGGCTGAGAAGAGAGGGAATATGCCAATGAAAATGACTTTCTTCCAGGTTTAATCACCTTGAGGCAAGATTTTCTTAAGTTTTGAGGCTGCTTATACACACTCAAGGGCAGTAGGTAAAGAGAAGTAGGCAAATGTAAAATTGACCATGGTATAGCTTTAGCTTGGCAAAGTACTGAGGAAATAAGGTTGGCTGCATGCAGACAATAAGTTCTCATGACACAAAGATAGCAAGAAAGGAAATAATATGGAACAGTCTCCTATAAATCCTGGGTCTCTATATACTAAATCACAAATTTGTAGCTCTCTGGTTTCATTCTGTCATTTTACATATGAGGAAACTAAGGAAGTGAAATAATTTGCTTATGATCACACAGGAATTAACTAACAGAAGCAGGATTGGTCTTCTTGCTCCAAAATTCCGTCGTACCATACCTACTTAACAAATTGTTAGCAAGTTCACAGGATGTTCACAAAATGCCTTAAGCTGAATTGATGTATACATATAGAATTTTTACATATTGTAACAATATCTTTAACATGATTTTGCAGGAAGGCTATACACCGCTTGTGGTTGCAATTAGAGAAAATAATCTGGCTATGGTAGATTTTTTCTTAAAAAATGGAGCAAATGTGAATGCCACGGATAACACTAAAAGGTACAGTAATTACTGCTTGAAATAAAATAAAGAGAGAAAAGTTTCTAGAATAATAAGAACAACTTAAACCATGGAACACATGGAACAACAATAATCAAAACTGGTTATCATTGTGAAAGGGTGAAAAATGTCCAAAAACATCCAGTATGAGAAGAAAAACTATTATTCTTGACTGCAACAGAGAAAGCAGTTCATGTAGGCCTGCCAATCTTGGTTAATTGGTGATTACTATTTGCAGTTTTATTTATTTGATTTTAAGTTAGTTAAGATTATCCCAAAGAAGTTTTGTACTCTGGTGTTTCAGGTGATTCTCTTTATGAAATAATCTTCATGTCACCCATGAGAATTGTAGTGTGTGTCTTCTCCTCTTCCTTTTTTTGATTTTTCCTTAAGAATATGCACATTGAGAAATACAAACCAATACAAGAATAATACGATGACATACTCTGATGAACCCATGATCTTATCATTGTGGAAACTTGTGCGACTGGTACATATTTTAATCTTTCCATGCCTTCTTATCCTACATGATTTTCATCATTGTCATTCCATAAATCCACTATAGAGGATCCAGGAAACACACTGAAGCTTTCTCCTGGTTCTTTTAATACATGAGGAACAGTGCAGTGAAAATTCTTTCTGGCTTTTATTTTTAATACAAGATTAGGTCATCCTCTTTTTTTTTTTTGTTTATCCATGTCTTTGAGAATGTCTGTCATACCACTTCCTACATCAAAGTCATTATTGCCTGAAACTCCTTATACTCACCATGCATATTTCCATGGCCTTTGAGATTATCTACAGTTTTGATCCTTCTGAGATTATTTTTGGTTTTTGGATTTTTAAAAAATCACTGTGGCCACATAGCATTCTTGAGAGAATATTGGTGTTTATACAATGAACTTTTGTGGCAATGGAGTCATTGTAAGTGCTGTATAGTTTCTCAAATGAAATTCAGTTGAATCTCCTTTTCCCAATAATTATGAGCCCAGTGCACTGCTGTTCTTCAATACCCATTCAAGCAGTGTGCGTGTGTATTAGGACACATATAAACACCTCTACAAAGATATAGATTGACCAAGTAGATGGGGCTGTCCTTTCAACTCTACGTAATCTAGGAAATATTTACTTTTCATTCACTTTTTCAGGGTGGATTCTTAGACCAATACATTTTGACTAAGTTTGGATTTCATCAAGGAGCTTTTTGTTCCAGGGCTTGATACAATCAGCACAATGTCATCCACAAATAGGAGCATTTGTAAATCTTTGCCATCATATACAATCTCTGTTCTATTTGGATCCTGTCCAGGACATCCTATGTAACACTGGGAAACACCTTAGGTGAGCATATGCCTCACAATTTACATCTAGCTTAATGCTGATACTTACTCATTGAACCAAGTTATCCCTTTGTGTGGCATGGGTCATTGAGCCTTGTATGATTTTAACATTAGCATGTGAGAAACTTGTTTGATATCACCAAAATTGAAAAACAAAACAAAACAAAACAAAAAGACAAGGACCTGACATTATCCTAACACACAAATAGGACTGATTACAATTGTTGGAATAATTTTGGAATTAGTTGTCTATATTCATTCAGATCATCGACTGTCCAGAATAAAGGTCAAAATTAATATAAATGAGAAAAAAGGATAAAGATGAAAAGCAGACAGTAGTCATAGCAGCTGTTTCCTCTTGTGATTAAGCATGCTATCAACTCCCCCAGATGAGAAATGGACATAGCTATTATCAGTTAACAAGCTGGATTGTCTATATTATTCCTTCTTTGTGCCAATATTGATGACAGTAAGGTTCAATCAATGGCCATCGGGCACCCTCTTATCTTCTCCAAATTTAACACATTCGAGCACTATATATGCTAAGCTATGCTAGGCAGTGGACATATGAAATTTCTCAAAAGTTTAATGCAAAGGAGTTGCCTCAAAGAGAAGGCCAAAAGAGCCCAGAAACGGCATCAGCTGGGAGACATAATCTCTGCCAAAAAGAGAGCTATTATGGCTAAGATGAACTCAAGCTTACACTAAAACATAATTTGTAAATAAAATAAAATAAAACAAAATGAAATGAAGAGGAAGAGGATAGAAGATGAAGACCAGTATTGCTTTCCAAAATAATGAAAAGCAGTTGAAGAGAAGATAAACCTGTAGGTTGTTTGACATGAAGCCTAAATCAGATCATCCTGAGAGCATTTGTTTATGAAATTTGAAGAGTGACAATGCATAGATATGAAATAGAACAGAACTACCATTATTTCTATTTTCATTAACACCAACATGGGAACATTTGGGAAAGATTGCTTCCTAAGGAAATAAAAATATATGAATATTAAAAAGTAATAGATTAGATTTTTAGATTTTTCATTGAGCAGATATTTCAAAAGATGTGTGTGGTATCTTTTTGAGCCTTCACTTCTGAATGTTAATTTTTTTAATAGTATTTCCCCACACTTACATGTCAAGACAATTGTTAGCATTTTATTTTTACAAAATTTTGAATTCCAAATTTTTCTCCCTCCCTCGCTCCCCTCCCTTCTTCTGAAACTGGCAAGCAGTTTGATATGGATCATACATGTGCTATCATGTACAATATATTTCCATATTAGTCATAGTTGTGAAAGAAGAAAACAGATCAAAAAGACAAAAACTTGAAAAAGAACAAAGTAAAGGAGAAACTATGCTTCCATCTGCATCCAGAGTCCGTCAGCTCTTTATCTGGATGTGAATAGCTTTTTCCTTCATGAGCTCTTCGTGATCTGACTTATTTCACATCATTGTGCTGCTGAGACGAGCTGAGTCATTCACAGTTGATCATCACATAGTGTTCCTGCTAACTGTGTACAATGTTTTCCTGGTTCTATGCATTTCACTTAGATCAGTGAATACGAGTCTTTCCACGTTTTTCTGAAATCTGCCTGCTCACAATAGTATTCCATTATATTCATACACAGCAGCTTATTCAGTAATGGGCATCCCCTCAATTCCAAATATTTTGCCACCATTAATAGGGTTGTTATAAGTATTTTTGGACATGTAGGTCCTTTTCTGTTTTTTATAATCTCTTTGGGATACAGAACTAATAGTGGTATTACTGGATCAAAGAGTGTACACAGATTGGTTGCCCTTTGGGCATAGTTCCTAATTGCTTTCCAGAATGGTTTTATCAGTTCACACTCTACCAACAGTGTGTCACTGTCCCCAGTTCTCCACATCCTCTCAAACATTGATCATTTTCATTTTTTGTCATATCAGCCAATCTGATAATTGTGAGGTGGCACCTCAGAGTTGTTTTAATTTGCATTTCTCTAATCCAAAGTGATTTAGAGGACTTCTTCATATGCCTGTGGATCACGTTGATTTCTTCATCTAAAAACTGCCTGTTCCTATCATTTGACTGTTTATTATGGGGAATGATTTATATTCTTACAAATTCGACTTAGTTCTGTATATATTTGAGAAATGAGATCTTTTTCAGAGACGCTTGCTATAAAGATTGTTTCCCAGCTTTCTGCTTTCCTTCTACTCTTCGTTTTATTGGTACAAAAGCTTTTTATTTGAATATAATCAAAGTAGTCTATCTTACATTTCATAATGCTCTCTATCTCTTATTTGGTCATAACTTCTTCCCTTACCCATAGATCTGACAGGTCACATTCCTTGATTCCTCGCTCTTCTAATTTGCTTTTGGTGTCATCCTTTATGTCTAAATCATGCACCCATTTTGACCTTATCTTGGGATACAATGTGAGATGTTGGTTTATTTCCTATTGTTTTTGAGTTTTCTGAGCAGTTTTTGGGAAATAGTGAACTCTTTTGCCAAAGCTGGGGTCTTTGCGTTTATCAAATACTAGGTTCCTGTGGTCATTAACTATTGTCTTTTGTACCTAATCTATTCCATTGATCCACCACTGTATTTCTTACATACAAGATTAGTTTTGATGATTACTGCTATATATCTGGTATTGCTAGGCCACCTTTCTTTGTACTTTTTTTTTCATTAATTCCCTTCATATTTTGACCTTTTTTTCTTCCAGATGAATTTTTGGTGATTTTTTTTTTAGTTCTGTCAAATACTCTTCTTGGCAGTTTTATTAGCACTGAATAAATAAATTGGTTTCAGGCAGACTTGTGATTTTTTTTATTATGTTGGCTTTGCCTACCCATGAGCAATTGATATTTTTCCCATTGTTCAGATTTGACTTCATTTGTATGAAAAGCATTTTGTGATTGTGTTCATACAGTTCCTGGGTTTGTCTTGGTAGGTAGACTCCCAAGTATTTTGTATTGTTTACAGTTATTTTGAATGGAATTTCTCTTTCTATTTCTTGCTGCTGAGCTTTGTTGGTCATAAAAAAGAATTCCTGATGATTTACTTGGATTTATCTTATATCCTGCAATTTTGCTGAAGTTGTTAATTATTTCATGTACTTTTTCAGTTGATTTTCTAGGATTCTCTAAGTATACTCTCATATCAGTTGCAAAGAGCGATAAATTTGTTTCCCTATTGCCTATTCTATTTCCTTCAATTTCTTTTTCTTCTCTTATTGCTATAGCCAGCAATTCTAGTACACTATTGAACAGTAGTGGTGGTAATGGGCATTCTTCCTTCACCTTGATCTTATTGGCAGGGCTTCTAGCTTATCTCTATTATAGATGATGCTTGTTGAAGGTTTTGGATAGATACTGCTTATCATTTTAAGGAATGCTCCCTATATTCCTATGCTCTCCATTGTTTTTAATAGGAATCTGAACTGTAATTTGTCAAAAGCTTTTTCAGCTTTTGTTTAGATATTCATATGATATCTGTTGGTTTTTTATGGATATGGTCAGTTGTGCTTATAGTTTTCCTAATACTGCACCAACCCTGCATTCCTGGTACAAATCCCACCTGGTCGTAGTATATAATCCTTGTGCTAAGTTGTCGCAATTGCCTTCCTAGTATTTTGCTCAAAATGTTTGCATGGATATTCACTAGGGAAATTGATCTACAATTTTCTTTTTCTCTTTTAGCTCTTCACGTTTTAGATATCTGTACCACATTTTTTTGTCATAAAAGGAGTTTATTATGACTCCACTTATTTTTCCAAATATTTTACATATAGTAATTCATTGTTCTCTGAGTGTTTGATTGACTTCACTTGTGAACCACTCTGGCCCTTGGGGATTTTTTCATACTGAATTCATTAATGGCTGGTTCAGTATCTTTTTCTAAGATGGATTTATTTAGGCATTCTGTTTCCTGATTTATTAATCTGGGTAATTTATATTTTCAAAAATATTCATTGATTTAGCTCAGATTGTCAGATTTATTGACACATAATTGGGCAAAGTATTTCCTAATGATTGCTTTAATTTCTTCTTCCTTGATGATGATTTCACTCTTTTCATTTTTGATACTGGTAGTTTGTTTCTCTTCTTTCTTTCTTTTTTTTTTCAATCAAATTAATCAATAGCTTATCTGTCTTCTTCTTTTTTCATAAAGCTTGCTTCCAGATTTATTTGTTAGCTCAGTAGTTTTTGTTTTTGTTTTTTGCTTTTAATCTTACTACCTCACCTTTGATTTTCAGAATTTGGCATTTGGTTCAGTTGGGGATTTTTTATTCATTTTTTCTAGTTTCCTTTTCTTTTGTTTATTTATTTTAGTTGGGAAAGCAATTAATTGATCCCATCTTTTTTATGTTTTGTTGAAGTAAAAATTTAGAGAAATAATTTCTCCCCTAAGCACTGCTCTGGCTGTATCACATCCATTTCAGTATGGTGTCTCATGGTTGTCATTCTCTTTAATGAAATTACTGATTGTTTCTATGATTTATTCTTTGACCTGCTTATTGTTTAGGATTAGATTATTTTGTTTCCAATTAACATTTAATCTGTCTTTCTCGCACCCTTTGGTGAAAGTGGCTTTAATTGCATTATAATCTAAAAAGAATACATGTGATATTTCTGCCTTTCTACTTTTGGTTTTGAAGTTTTTATGCCATAATACATGGTCAGTTTTTTTGCTTAGGTAACATATGCTGTCAAGAAAAAGGTATATTCCTTTCTGTTCCCATTCCGTTTTCTCCAGAGCTCTGTCATATCTAACTATTCTAATAATCTATTTACCTCTTTAGTTTCTTGAGTGTTTATTTTTTGGTTGGATTTATTGAGTTCTAAGAGGAAGCAGTGGAGGTCCGCCACTAGCATAACTTTGCTGTCTATCTCTTTCTCTAACTCATTTAACTTCTCTTTTAAGAATTTGGATGCTATACCACTTGGTACATATATGTTTAGAATTGATATTGCTTCATAGTCTATGGTATCTTTTAGCAAGATGTAGTTTCCTTCCTTATCTGTTGTAATTAGATCTATTTTTGCTTTTAATATTTCTGAGATCAGGATGGCTACTCCTGCTTTTACACTTAAGCTGAAGCATAATGTATTATGCTCCAATCTCATACCTCTGCTCTGTGTGTATTTCTCTGTTTCAAATGTGTTTCTTGCAAATGACATATTGTAGTATTCTGGTTTTTAATCATTCTCCTACGTCCATATTTAGTATTCTGAATCCATTCTCCTACCTGCTTCCATTTTTGAGAGTTCATGCCAATTACATTCATGAATATGATTATTAACTGAGAATTTCCCTCCATCCTATTTTTCTTCTTGTTTGTCCTCTCTCTCCTTTCACCCTTTACCTCTTCACCAGTGTTTTGCTTCTGTTGAACACCTCCCCTGATCTGCCCTCCCTTTCTGTCAGTTCTCCCATACCCTCCTCCTACCTTAATTCATATTCTCCCCTCCTACTTCCCTGTTCGGTAACATAGATTTCTATATTCAAATGATTGTCTATATTATTCCTTCTTTGTGCCAATATTGATGACAGTAAGGTTCAATCAATGGCCATCGGGCACCCTCTTATCTTCTCAAATTTAACACATTCAATCTCTCCTTTCCTTCTGCATTCAGTATACTCCTCTTTGTCATAGCTTAATTATTTTCGTGTTATTCCCTCAAATTCACCTTATATTCATAATTCTGTCTATGTATCTTCCTTCTAGCTGTACTATTATTGACATGATTTTTAAGAATCAAAGTATTATCTTACCATGTAGGGATGTAAACAGTTTAGCTCTACTGATTCCCTTATGTTTTCTCTTTTTCCCTGTTTATGCTTCTCTTGATCTTGATACTGGAGATCAAATTTTTGGTTTAATTCTGGTTTTCTCTTATGAAAACTGTGTAGGATCCCAGGAGAAAGTCCTTAACTGTTGCACACACAAGGCTTTGACAAACTGTCTACTTGTCTATTATGAAGCCTTAAATTTGACAATCCCATAAAAACTCTAAGGGGACAAAAAAAATTCTTTCTTTCTTTTCTTCTGCTTTTAATTGCATTTTTCCTGCTTCACATAAGCAATAAAAGTACTCATATCCATCACTAAGCATGCTCCACATGGATATTCACTCTAAAGAATATGAGATATTCTCTTGTTGAAACATAAAAAATCTGATTAGATATGACTTTTTAAATTCTTAAATGTAAATTGTTTCTTTGTTATTATAGGACACCCATCATGCATGCTGCCATTGGTGAACCAGTAGGCATAGTGAGTCTTCTTCTTCAATATGATGTTGATGTCTCTTGCCGAGATAAATCTCGATGGACAGTTTACGACCATGCCAAAATCAGTTGTCGCCCAATGTAAGTTCTAACATTATAGTTCTAATTATCTTTATACAATTGCATTTAAAAGGTTTTTTTCCCCGTATACTTGAGACTGCCAGGGACTTTCATAGTTGCATAAAATAGCAAGCATCTGACAAGCATACTTCAAGTCACTAAGAAGAAATTGGGCAAATGGCAAAGTTAGGTTGTCCAAATTTAGGAGGACATGAGCAAGAGACAGGGTACAAAGTAGAGTCAGGTAATCTGAGATCAGAATTTTCAGAAATAATAATGATGAAACCTGCCATTTTTATAATTCTTTAAGGTTTTCCAATGTTTTACATACACTTTATTATTTGATCTTCACAAAAGTTCTGTAATTTATTATACTGTCTGATTTAGAGAGGTAATTTTTGTTTGTTTGTTTTTTAACCTTTGCTGACACCTCTCAGTTATAGTAGACCTAAAGTTAGTTTTAGGGAAAATCACAATATGTCTTAGATGCCTTCAAAGGAGTGATAAATGAAAAGAATAAATCATAAATATTAATAGTCAACATTAGAATTTATAGAGTGGCAGTTTGGTACAGGGGAAAAGTGCTCAATTTGGAGTCAGAGGACCTGGGGACAAATCATGCCTCTCACTATATGTGTAATGTTGGACAACTGTTACCTTCTCTGGGACTCAGTTACTTAATCTATAAAATAAAGAGATTAGAGTAGATGACAAATATAGACCCTTTCAGTCCTAAACTTACAGTTCTATAATATTGTGACTCTTAAGATAAGTGTATCACATCTAGATTGAATGATTGGTTATGCTCTACAGACTTTATGAAAACAACATTTTTTTTTGGTGATAATCTGATTATGTAAGGTTTGAGATACACCAATACTTGGTGCATATAATTTTTATCTTTGTTGATGTAGACTTAATATGTTTTATATTTTATTTTATACATAGTCATTATAAACTAATTACTGAGTATGGAAGACAGAAGGGACTTTATCAGTCCCATTCAACCCTAACCAGCAGTTCAGAGAGTGCTTTTGATCCAGAATTTACTTTGGGTGCAGCTGCCATGGATCAAATAGGTAAGACTTAAAAACCTGAAGAAATAGTGACTTTAGAAAATAATGAAAGAGCAATCTTAAAATTCATATATACTTTTTTCTGTTTCCATTTTATACTTTAAATGGGTAGGAACTTATTTATTTTTGATTAGTTACTTAATTATCCTTGTAGGTTCACTATCCTGAAGCCATTTACTAAAAACAGCCACAAGATCTTTTGTGTTATTATTATCTGCTTTATCCAAAAATTTCTTTATGTAGGCTTCAATACAATTTTCAGGTTTCTAAATTATTCTAAATATATTTAACCAAATTATATGAAAAGTCTTTAATACTTTTAAAATGTATTATATTTAGCAATATAATTTATTTCTGATTCTTAAATATGGAAAAAATAAATAATAAATATGAGACTCCTATAACTGTAGCATGCGTACCCATACTTACATACACACACGGACAGAGGGACTGTATGAATATATAAAGATAGAACAGAAAAAGAACAAGAGAGCAGAGCCCACATTCTTTTTTAGAACTCTGTAAATCACTTATCCAAGCTTTGGAAATATATACATTTTAAACCTTTTCAAAATTTTAAAAGGTTCATAAAGCTTTTGCTTTATTCTAAAGAAAATACAAAACCCACAGGATTTAGAGGGACCAGGGAATAGAGATTTGAAAGGAAATGCATATAACCATAGATTTTTGGTCAGTATTTGCATCACTTTGTGATTCAGGTAGTTAAACTTTAGACAGGAGAAGATTTTCTGACTTACCTCCTAACATTTAATCCTACCGCTGGGCCATTTGGAATCTTAATGATCTGGGCTTGTAATAATAAATTCATCTCACATTTATAAGACTTTTTTTTTAAATCAGTTGACCTATTACCTTGTGTGAAAGATAGTGTGGATATTCTGGTTGCTCTCATTTGAATGGTGATGAAACTGAGGAGCACAAAGCTTCGATGACATGCTCATGCTAGCAGAGCTAAAAGGAAAGAGTTATCATGCCCTCTTAACTACTGTACATTACATTATATATCAGGAAGAGATGACCTATGTAAACCTTCCTTAGAAGAAATGAGAAATCACAATGGCAGAAAAGACAGTATTTAATTTTAAGTATACATTACTACTGCCTAAAAAGGTTATATTCCAATAAAATATTTTAATTCCCTATAGCTAGTCATGTGACAACTGAACCTCACTTTCCCTCATTTTGTTCATTTGTAAAGCAGTCTTATCTATAGCTACATACATGAAATTGTTATGACAAACATTGAAGTTCAAAAAAGTGAAGTTCTGTTCCTCAATAATAGTTTTACATGTTAACTACATATAAAATTTTGAGCACATTTTTAAAAAATTCTTAATCCAATTTTAATAAAAACAATTATACTAAGTAATCTCATTGAAGATGTAGTGTCTATGAAGTTAATCAAGAAAAAGTTATAGTCTAGAACACAATTAAATATAAGGACATTGAAGAGTATGGCTTATTAGTGATAGATAAAGCTATTCATAAATATGTTCAAGGAAGATATCAGAATGTAAACATTGACTTTATGAAATATATAGTAACCAATAACATTTTCTATACAAGCCAAAATCATAATGTATGTATAAATATATTAATGTTAGAATTGTAAAATGTTAAAAGAACTAGGGATAGGAATAAAAAGAAAAATTAATTACAATTATTTGCTATTACAAAATATATCTGCTTTCCTTCAAATACTCATCTTTCACTATGAGACATTTATTTTTTCCACCTCATTTTCTGTTCATCAAAAAAAAATGGTAAAAATTCATCATTTGATTGGTAACTGCAGCAGTAATGGCATCGCTTATCCCTTTATTAGACTCAAAATTGGTGATCTCTGAGTTCTTTTGAACTTTTGAGGAATCATTGAGCTATTGTCATAAACCTCATATCTTCATTGTTTTGTAGTGAACCTTAGAGTAATAATAAAGTGACAACTGTTTTCTTTGACTTTTACTAATAGTGAAACTTTTGCATGTTTTTTTTTTTTTGTAAATCATATTGTCCAAGGGAACCAGGCATTTACATTAAAAATGAGTATGCTAGAGCCCTGGTCCTGGGCCTAGTAGTCTTTTTCACTTCCCTGAAACCAACATTTGCTTTCTTACCATTATTTATTTCATTCTTTTGTACCCATTAATTGTGAATAACCCCAATTTTACCAAAAAAAAAAACCAGAATTCATGAGTTTTCTAGTACGTTGGCAAATGATGATATTCTGGGGTTGATCACCACCCTAGATATTTCTTCTGGTTACTTTGATATTTTAATTCAGGTTTATGGTAGAAAAGCCACAAGGTATCAAAACATTGGATTCCAAAGTGTTTTTTTTCCTGCTCTCTAAAAATTGATACTGTATTTGCTCTTTGTGCAACCATAATTTTAATTGTGCAATATCATCTTCCTACACAAATCAACATGGATGATACTATGAACCATGAATGATAAAGGCCACAAGTCAAAGATATCCAAAAGATATCCTTCTCAACAAAGACAAGGCTGTTGTGTAGATAGATAAGCCAGGAAGGATTTAGGACCAGTGGTTTAGTACTGCCTCTGCCACTAACTACCTCCTTCATCTCTTTGAACCTCAGTTTCCTTTTGTTTCTATTTACAAATGAAGTGAAGGGTTTGAAATGCCCTCTGAAATTCTGTCTCTTCTAAAAGACCATGCTACTTCATGTTTTAATACCATTGATTTTAAGTATTTTTTTAATCAGAACATGAATAATATGGCAAGTTAGCTACAGTAGTATTCATCATCTGTTGTCTACCTCCCTGATAAAACATTTTATGCCACATGAATGTAGTCTATAGCATAACAAACACATCCCCCTTTAAATGTACATTTTATCGTTTCAAATGCTTCTATGACTTTTCCCCATAAGGGCATGCAAAACTTTATTCATAATTTGTAAATCGCTTAGGTTATAAAAAACCACTTCAGTACATTGCAGACAAATTGTAAATGTCTAATCTACTTGAAGTAATAATCCATATAAGATAAGGAGACATACTATAATATTCAATAGAACAGAATCTAGCCTGACCTAGATGAAAAAAAGCATTTTGCTTTCCAATTAGTTTTCATATATACACCCTTTTTTTCTTCTTAATTTTTTTTCTTAATTTTTAATTAATTTATTTTTAGTTTTCAACATTCACTTCCACAAGATTTTGAGTTCCGATTTTCTCCCCATCTTGTCCCTCCCTCCACCCCAAGATGGCATGCATTCTGAATACCCCTAATCTGCCCTCCCTTCTATCTCTCCCCCCTTCTCTTATCTCTTTCCCCTTCAATTTTCCTGTAGGGCAGGATAGATTTCTATGCCCATTTAATGTATATATTATGCCCCAGTTGCATGTGAAAACATTTTTTTTAAATTTTTGTTTTAAAAATTTTAGGTTCCAAATTTTCTCCCTTCCTCCTTCCCCATCCACCCTCATTGAGAAGTCAAGCATATTGATGAGTAATATATGTGTAGTCATGCAAAACCCTTCCATAGTAGTCATATTGTGAAAAACTAAGTATATTTCCCTTCATCCTACCCCCCATTTATTCTATTCCCTTTTTGACACTGTCCCTCCTTAGAAGTGTTTGCTTCTGATTATCCCCTCCTCCATCTGCCCTCCCCTCTCTCATCCTCTTGCTCTCTTGTCCCCTTCCCTCCCATTTTCTGTAGGGTAAGATAGATTTCTATACCCAATTGATGTGTATGTTATTCTCTACTCAAGCCAAATCCAATGAGAATAAGATTCACTCATTCCCTCTCACCTTCCCCTGTTTCCCCTCCGCTGTAAAAGCCTTTTCTTGTCTGTTTTATATGAGATAATTTACTCCATTCTACCTCCCCATTTCTTCTTCTCCCAGTATAATCCTCTCTCATGCCTTAATTTTATTCTCCAGATATCCCCCTTTCATGTTACCTTGTATCATCTGTCTATCTATCTATCTATCCATTTATCCATTACATACACACACATATATATGTATATATATTCACCTCCAACTGCTCTAATACTGACAAAGGACTCATGTGTTACAAATATCATCTTTCCATGCAGAATGTAAGCAGTTCAACTTTAATAAGTCTCTTATAATTTCTCTTTCCTGTTTACCTCTTCATGTTTCTCCTGAGTCTTGTATCTGAAAGTCAAATTTTCTAATTAGCTCTAGTGTTTTCATCAAGAATGCTTGAAAGTCTGCTATTTCACTGAAGGTCCACTTTTTACCCTGAAGGATTATACTCAGTTTTGCTGGGTAAGTGATTCTTGATTGTAATCCTACCTCCTTTGCCCTCCAGAATATCATATTCTAAGCACTCTGGTCCCTTAATGTAGAAGCTGCTAAATCTTGTGTTATCCTGATTGTGTTTCCACAGTACTTGAATTGTTTCTTTCTGGCTGCTTGCAATGTTTTCTCCTTGACCTGGGAATTCTGAAATTTGGCTACGATATTCCCAGGAGCTTTCCTTTGGGGATCTCTTTCAGTAGGTGATCTGTGGAGTCTTTCAATTTCTATTTTGCCCTCTAGTTCTAAAATATCAAGGCAGTTTTCCTTGATGATTCCTAAGATGATGTCTAGGCTTTTATTTTTATTTATTTATTTATTTTGATCATGGCTTTCACATAGTCCAATAATTTTTAAATTCTTCTCCTGGATCTATTCTCCAAGTCAGTTGTTTTTGCAATGACATATTTCACATTGTTTTCTCTTTTTTTTTCATTCTTTTGGATTTCTTTTACAGTGTCTTGGTTTCTCATAAGGTCACTAGCTTCCAATTGTTCCATTCTAATTTTTAAGGAAGAGTTTTATTCAGTAAACTTTTGGACTTTTTTTTCCATTTGGCCAATTTTGCTTTTTAAGGCATTCTCCTCATTGGCTTTTTGGACCTCTTTTGCCATTTGGGTTAGGCTATTTTTTAAGATGTTATTTTCTTCAGTATTTTTTTGGGGTCTCCTTTAGCAAGCTGTTG